GTCCCATCTTTGAAACAGACTTATTCTTTGACCCCTGGCTAAGTCTCACCTCTTCGTGCCCTTAGGCACTAAGAAACTAAGAAAGGCCCTCTAGCACTAAGAAACTGCTGAGCAGCTGATGTGCAAAGAACTCCCTAACCAATGAAACAACAAATCTGCCTCTCCCTCTTCCATTTTTTTTTTCTAATTCCAGAATGTAGCCGGAGGTTGAGATTCCCTTCTTTTTAACCCAATGAAATTTCCAGGCCTCAGATGAATCTTATCCATAAAATGGAGGGTGGATACAACTACATGAAACCAAATACCTGCTGTTGCTCTCACAGCTTCTAAACAGCACCTCCTATTCTCCCTCTATTTGCTCCATTCTATAGTATGAGGTAGCTCTTCTTCTTCTGGACACCTTCTCTCCATGTACCTTTTATCCCAACCCTCCTGTCTTCTCCAGCACTTTGTCCTCACTATCATTTCCCTTCTTTCCAATCCTTCCCAGCTGCTTCCAAACGAATCCAGGTTTGGCCCATCATCCTTAAAAAAACCCTTCATCAGGCCCCACCTTGATTCCTTCAAGCTGCTATCTCATATTCCTCCTCCCTGTTACAACCAAAATCCTAGAAAAGCTATTGATACTCATGACTTCCATCACCTCTCCTCTCCCTCACTTTTCAGCCCTTAGCAGTCTGGTTTCAGAGACTATCATTCAACTGAAACAGCTTTTTCCAAAGTTGTCAATGATCTCTTGTCAAATCCAGTGGCCTCTTCTCAGTCCTCATCCTTCCTGGCCTCTCTGTAGCATTTGACACACTCTCATTTTCTCCCTCTGGATCCTCTCTCATCTCTCTATGATTTCTCTTGGTTCTACTACCTGTTGTTCCTTCTGAGTCTCCTTTGATGTACCATCATGTATATCATGTCCCCTAACAATGACAAACTCAAAGGCTCTGTTCTAAGCCCTCTTCTCTTTACACACTTATCTGGTACAGCTCCCATAGGTTTAATTATCATCTTTCCATAGATGAGTCCCATATACACACATAGCCAAATATGATATATAATGCATATGTATGAATAAGTATATATGCACATGTATGTATACACACATATGTGTATATCTATATCTATGTATAGGCCCCAGTTTCTCCAATCCAATCCAATAAACAGTCCAAGTGCCTACTATGTGCCAGGCACTACTATGCTCAGTGCTAGGGATACAATTAATAAAAAAAAGACAGTACCTGCTCTCAAGGAGCTTACAGTGTAATCGGGGGAGACAACACACAAAAGGGGGCAGGAAAGGGGTGTATATGATTGAGATACCGGGGGCATCTTGCTCTGTGGAACTGAAACCAGGCAGAGCAGCAGATAAAAAGTGGAATGAGCTGAATCCAGTTCCTTTCCTCTATAAAGAATGGCACTAGCGTGGTAATTTTGGAATTTGGCTACTATATTCCTTGGTGTTTTCAATTTGGGATCTCTTTCAGGAGGTGATCTGTGGATTCTTTCTATGGCCATTTTACCCTCTGGTTCTAGGACCTCAGGGCAGTTTTCCTTGATGATTTCCTGAAAGATACTGTCCAGGCTCTTTTTTTCATCATGATTTTCAGGTAGACCAATAATTTTTAAATTGTCTCTCCTGGATCGATTTTTCAGGTCAGTTGTTTTATTAATGAGGTATTTTACATTTTCATCTATTTTTTCATTCTTTTGTTTTTGTTTGACTGATTCTTGCTCTCTCATAGAGTCATTAGTTTCCATTTGCCTAATTCTAATTTTCAACAAATTGTTTTCTTCTATTAGATTTTGTACCTCTCTTTCCTCATATGGCCAATTGTATTTTTAGGGACTTGTTTTTTTCAGTGTACTTTTTTTCCAGTTGGCCAACTATATTTTTTAGGACTTGTTTTCTTCAGTGTACTTTTTCCCCAGTTGGCCAATTGTAGTTTTTAATGACTTGTTTTCTTTGGTAACTTTTTGTCCTTCCTTTTCCAAGCTATTGATTCTCTCTTGCATACCTCTCATTTCTTTTCCCATTTTTTCTTCTACCTCTCTCATTTGACTTTTACAATTCTTTTTGAGCTCTTCTAAGAAAGCTTTTTGGGCTTCAGACCAGTTCATATTCCCTTTTGAGGTTCCAGATGTCAGTTTGTTGACAATGTTGTCCTCTTCATAATTTCTGCCTTGATCTTCTCTCTTCCCATAATAAGAATCTATCCTAAGTTTCTTTTTGCTTATGGTGTTTGCTTATTTCCTGACCTTTAAAGAGATTGAGCTCTCCTGCTGGGGAGCAGAGACACTGACCCAGCCTTCTTGTGTTGGGAGCCTAGGGCCTGGTCACTGGCAATATTGTAATCAGCCAGAAAGAAACAATTTAAATATCATGGAACCACTGTCAGGATTACACAGGACCTTGCAGCTTCTACATTAAAAGACCATAGGGCGTGGAATATGATATTCCATAAGGCAAAGGAGCTTGGATTATAACCAAAGATCAACTACCCAGAGAAAATGAGCGTGATCTTTCAGGCGAGGAGAAGGATATTCAACGAAATAGGGGATTTTCAAACCTTCCTGATAAAAAGACCAGAGCTCAACAGAAAATTTGATCTTCAAATACAAGACTCAAGAGAGACATAAAAAGGTAAATGGGACAGAAAGAAACAACACGTTATTAATAAGGGCAAACTGTTTGTATCCCTACAAGGGAAGATGACACTTGAGAACTGCATTGTTATTACACCATGTTAAATCAAGACATCTCCAAAGGCCTCATGATGGAAAATGCTATCCACATCTAAAGAAAGAAATATGGAGTCTGAATGCATATGGAAGCATACTTTTCCTTTTCCTTTGTTGCTTTATTGCTTAATTCTCATGGATTCTCCCATTAGTTCTAATTGTTCTTTACATCATGACTAACAGGAAATATGCTTAATATGAATGTATAAGTAGAGCCTATATCAGATTGCACGCCATCTTGGGGAGGGAGGTGAGGAGTGAGGAGGAGAAAAATTTAAAACTCAAAAGCTTATGGAAGTGATTGTTGATAAATCAAAATAAATTAATTTTTAAAAAGTGAGCTGCATGTAATCAAGATTTGTATAACCATATTCAATCATATTTTCCTGATCTACTTTGTATATGGAAATGCTTTTTTTTTTGTGTTTAAGTGTAGAATAAAAATTAAATTAAATTAGAAAAGAAAAAGACCAAAAAAAAAAAAGGAAGAATGACATCGGGAGAAGCTTGATTCTACACCTTCCAGCTCCAGGAGAGGAGGCGAGAGGGGGTGGTGTCAATTAAGCTTTGAGTTAGCATAGGGGAGATGAGATCAGAAGTGATGAGCTTGTCTTGGAAAGGGTATCCCGTTCCCTGGGGTAAAACCAGGCAGAGCAATAGATGCAAAGTGAGTAAGTTTCTCTCTCCAGTCCCACGTCACCAATTGTCTCTATAATATTTGGAACTAGATTTTCCATAGGTATCTAAGACTCAACATGTTCTGGACAGAACTTACTATCTCCCCTTCTCTTTATCCCACCCCACTTTTGAACTTCTCTGTTTCAGTCACTCAGCTTTACAATCTTGAGGTCATCCCAGAGTCCTCACTCCTCTACATAGGTAGCACAATGCATACAGTACTGGACTTGGAGTTAGGAGGACCTGAGTTTGAATCTTGCCTCAGACACTGACTAGCTGTGTGATGCTGGATGAGTCACTACACTTCTTTGTGCCTCAATTTTCTCATCTGTAAAATGGGGATAATAATAGCACCTATCTCCCAAGGTGGTTATGAGGATTAAAATGAGATACTTGTAAAGTGCTTTGCAAATTGTAAAGTGCTATGTAAATGCTATTATTATCACTATATTCAATCAGTTGTCAAATGTCATTGTTTCTTCTCCCATATCTCTCACATCTGTCCCCTTTTCTCTACCTACACAGCTATCTACTTCAAGGATTTATCATCTCTTGTCTTCACTACTAAAGTAGCATTCTAATTGGTCTCATGCCGAAAATTTCTCCTTGTTCCAGTCCATTCTCCAAAGAGATCCAAATATCTGCCAAAGTAATCTTCCTAAACCACAACTCTGACCTCTACTCAATGAACTCCAGTGGTTACCTATTACATCCAGAATCAAATATGAAATGCTCTCTATGGTATTTAAAGCCCTATACAATCCCTACCTTTCCAGCCCTATTATACTATTTTTCATGAAATGTACTGTCCAATCAATCTGGCTTTCTTCCTGGTCCTCACATAGGGCACCATATTTTTTAGTCTCTATGCCTTTGCAATGGATTTTTTTTTAATTAAAAAAAATTCTTATTTAGTATTTCCCCCCAATTACATGCAAAAACAATTTTTAACATTCGTTCTTAAAACTTTGAGTTCCAAATTCTCTCCCTTCTTTATGGCTGTTCTTCATGCCTGGAATGCACCCCTTCATTGCCCCTGACTTTTGGGATCCCTGCTTTCTTCTTTCTTTTTTGGTGAGGCAATTGGGATTAAGTGACTTGCCCAGAGTCACACAGCTAGTGAGTGTTATGTGTCTGCGGCCGGATATGAACTCAGGTCCTCCTGACTCCAGGGCCGGTGCTATATCCACTGTGCCTACTCAGCTCATGTGCCACCTTCTAAATGATGCCTCTTCTGATCCCCCAGCTATATTCTCCTCCTCACTTCTTCCTTCGTTACCTTCCATCTATTTTGTACGTACCTATATATGTATAGGTAGGGTAGCTAGCTGGCAAAGTGCAAAGAGCACAGGGCTTGGAATCTTCCTGATCCATTTCCTGAGTTCAAATCTGGCCTTAGACACATACTAGCTGTGAGACCCTGGGCAAGTCACTTAACCCTGTTTGCCTCAGTTTCCTCATCTATAAAATGAGCTGGAGAAGGAAATGGCAAATCACTCCAGTATCTTTGCCAAGAAAACCCCAAATGGGGTTATGAAGAGTCAGATATGACTGAAATAACTGAACAAGGACAACAAAAGTATGTATACCTGTGGTTCCCTCTGAGATGTAAGTTCGAGGGTAGGGACTGTTTTTCTTTGTTGTCATTGTATCCCCAAGCACCTCCCACAGCCTAGTCATAGTAGGTGCTTCATAAATGCTTGGTTGAATTCACCTCTAACCTTCTGTAATTCCTCTTTGGGAATATTCTTCTGACAAGACTACCTGAGAAACAGAATAGATTCAAATCGATAACTGTGATGATGTTACTTTGTCCTTTCAAACCCTTCCATAGTACTCCAAGGGTATTCTAACGCTATGTCTTATTGATGACTCATTTTCACCTATGTGGAGCTCCCATTTTACAGATGAGGAAACTTTGACATGTAGGAGGTATTGGCTGCTGGTCCAAAGCCTCCCATGGCTCGCAGGGTACGGCCAAGACTAGAACCTGACAGTCACGACAACAAGGTGCCATGACAGGGCAGAAACAGAAATCCTGCAGCTTGGACGGGATGTCATGGAGGCAGGCCTTGGGAAGTGGGCCACCATGTCCTTTTTTTCTTCCCCTTACCTCCTCCTTTCCCCCTCCCCCCTTTTACCATCTCCTTTCCCCCTCTCTTCTCATTCCCCCCTCCCTTCTTTCCCCCTTCCCGGAGCAGCTTGTGGCTCCGCCCCTTCATCTGACTCAGCTCGCGCTCCGTCCTCTCTCCCCTCACCCCCGCCCGCCGCCACGCCCGTCTCGCTGCTGCCATGGTAACCATACGCGCACTTCACGGACTAACGGAATCGTCGTAATCGTTGGTACCGACCTGCGGCCCCTCACATCACCCGGACCAAGGCACGTACTGTTCTCCGGGCGCGACGTTTAGGTAAAGAGACTAGGGGAGTTTGAGGACTACTGGGAAAGAGAGGGGGTGGAGTGAGGGTGGGGAGGAAAAGGTTGACCCTCCCTCGCCTCATCATCGCCCGGGCTTGGGCTCTGGGCACACAGTCCGAGGGTGCTGCGGGGTTCGGGGCTCGGCTTTGCGGGAGAGAGAGGGAAGCCCAACGGCATCGTACTGCATCATGGGAAATGTAGTTCGGCCTTTCTTCCGTCTCGCGCTCTTTTGCTGGGGGCGCTGAAGGCAGAGGACTACAAACCCCAGCGGGCATGCCAGGGCGGGGGGCAGCCGACGGGGAGATGGCTATGTAGGGATAAGCATTCCCATTTTCTTTTTTATCCACCTTCCTAGTGGCTATTTGGGTGGTCATCTAATACTGTAAAAAGGGAATGGAGGGGAAGTGGGACCTGGGTTGCTCCTTAACCCCTACTCCGCCATCCCTCCATCCTCCCATTCCACCGCAGTTGTTCTGCAGCCTCCCCCGGCCACCGCCCTCCACACTACTAAATGAACCTTCTCCCTCCTCCTTCCCCACGCCCCCAAGTGCACGCCCTTGGGTCTGCCAAGAGGCAGTGACCCCTTTTTCTGTTTGCAGAGCCTTAAGTGTGTTTCTTGTTGGAGGATAGGGGAAGACAGGATATATTTAAGGAGGCTTTTTTCTGATATTGCAACAGTTTAGTAGCTTACATTTGTTCCCGATTGCTTAAAGCTTTTCTAAGTATTGGTTTATAAGATTTAATAATAATCCACTTAACTCGTGCCAGTCCCCGTGCCCAGACGTGGGAACAAAAGCAAAGACAAAAACAAACAAAAAATAATAATAGCTTTTATGTAGTGCCTACTATTTGCCCGACAATTTACATATATCATCTCATATCCCAACAACTCTGGGAGCTACATGCTGTTATCCTTATCTTACAGTTGAGGAAACTGAGGCAAACAGAGGTTAAGTGGCTTGCTCAAGGTCACACAGCTTGTAAGTGTCTGAGGCTGAATTTGAACCCTTGTCTGCTTCATTCTAGGCCCATCCATTCTACTGTGTGCCCTAGCTGTTCACCAAAACATTTCCTAGCTCTCAAAAGGAGTACAGTCTAAGACAACATGCAGACACCACGTACAAACAAGATAATATGTACAATATAAATTGGAGATAATCTACAGAAGGAAGATACAAGCAGTAAGGAAGGTAGAGAAATTTCAGAGCTGGAAAGGCTTTGTAGGTCATCTAGTCCAACCCCCCTCATTTAAAAGATAAGAAAACTTAGATCTGACAAGTGACTTGCCCAGGTCACATGGCTAGTAGGTGGCAGGTTTGGTACTAGACTTTGTCTTTCCTGACTTCTTGTCCCATCCTCTTTCCACGCTTAACTTTATTCCTACCAAAAATAATCATTGCTAGAGTAGGAAAGCTTAAGAGTTACTGAGTTTTCCAGGTGGTGGAATACACAAAAGATAGAATAATCTGGTTATTAAATAGTGCATTGGTATTTTCCATCACTTCATAGTAAATGAGATCAGGGAGCCAGTCAGGGAGTCAGGAGAAATAACACAAAGCTATTCAGGGAGTGTCTGAACCTGTCACATGTTTTACCTACTTCTGGAGCTTGTGTTGGTGGAGATTTAGGACTGGAAGTCAGGAGTCTAGATTACAGCCCTAACTCTTGGAACTAATAATAAAAGTAACAGCAACACTGATAATTAGTAGTAGCAGCAGCAGTAGTTATGAGATAGTGCTTGACATTTACAATATGTTTTAAATGCATGATTTCATTTGAGCTTCAAGGGTCCTGTGACATAGGTACTACAGATATTATCAGCTCTATTTTACAGATAAGGAATAAATGAAAAAGCATTTATTAAACTCTTACTATGTGCACTGTACTAAGTAAATGCTGGAGATATAAAAGAAAGGCAACCTCTGCTCTCAAGGAGTTTACATTTTAATGGGGTAGACAACGCGCAAAGGGAGAGTGGTGGTAAGTTAGAGGCATTTTGGTTTAGAAAGTTACTGGGTGATGATTGAGATCACGGGGGAGTAAATTACAAAAATCACAGAAGTTTAGAGGTGATAAAGAACTCAGAGGCAATCCAAGCCAACTCATATATGATAGGAATACTCCTCACTATGAAAATTGGACAAGTTTTTTCAAGCCTCTGCTTTAAGACCTTTGAGGATGGCCTCCCTAGTCAGCCTATTCCACTTTGCGACAGCTTTATTAGGAAGCCTCAAATTCCTTCTTTGCAACTTCCACTTGCTCCTGGTTCTGCCCTCTGGGGCCAAAAAGAACAATTACAGGCGCTTTTCCACATGATAGCCCTTCACATACTTGAGCAATTGTTATAACTGCTTAGTGTTCTCCTCTCCCAGAGAAACATTCCCAGTTCTTTCAACCAATGCTCATATGACATGGGCTCAAGGCCTTTTACTCTCTTGGTTGCCTCCTCTGGACATTCTTTAGTTTATAAATATTTTTCTTAAACTTTGGTGCCTAGAATGCAGTATTCTAGATAAGCTACAGGGCAGAGTAGAGTACAGAGTACAGTACAGGATAGATCTTTAAGAGTGGAGTCAGAAAGACCAGAGTTCAAGTGCTGTTTTAGATGCTTATTAGATGTGTGGCCCATGGCAAGTTACTTAAGTCTGTCTGCCTTGGCTTTCTCATCGGTGAAATGGAGATATTAATAGCACCTACCTCGCAGGGTTTTTGCCACATTATCAAATGAAATAATATTTACTAAGGGCTTAGCATAATAATAGGTACTTAAAAGCTTGTTCCTTTCCTTGACCTCATTTCTAGAAGTTCTGCCTCTCTCTTTTTTGTTTTTTGGCTAGGCAATGGGGTTAAGTGACTTGCCCAGAGTCACACAGCTTAGAGAGTGTTATGTGTCTGAGGTCAGATTTGAACTCAGGTCCTCCTGAATCCAGGGCTGGTGCTCTATTTACTGAGTCACCTAGCTGCCCCGAAGTTCTGCCTCTCTTAATGCAGCCAAAGATCTCATTAGCTTCTTTGGCTACCACATCACACTGCTGATTCATACTGAGTTTGTAGTCCACTAAAACCTCCATGTCTGTTGCAGAACTGTTGCTGCCTCCTGCATCTTGTACTTGTCAGGTTGATTTTTTTTGTACCCAATTTCAAGACTTAGATTTACTTCTATTGAATTTCATCTTATTAGAGTCAGCCCAATGCTCTAGTCTGTCAAAATACTTTTGGATCCTGACTGTCATTTATTGTGTTAGCTGTTCCTACTAGCTTTGTGTCATTTGCAAATTTGATGAACCATTATTCGAGTCATTGATGAATTTAAATAGCACAGGGCCAAGTACTAATTTCTAGGGTACTCTCCTGGAGATCCCTTCCAATGTTGGTATTGAACACATCAGTAGCTGCTTTTTGAGTCTAGCCATCTAATCAGCTCTGAGTCCATCTAATTGTATTATTATATTATTATATCTTATTGTAGTCTAGTCTAAATCTCTCCATCTTCTCTACAATAATAGTGTATGAAATACTTTATCAAAAACTTTGCTAAAATCTAAGTAAAATCTATTTACAGTATTTTTCTTCTTTATTAGTTAGTAATCCTGTCAAAAAAGAGCATGAGATTAGCCTGGCTTGATATGTCAGAGGCAGCTAGGTGGTGCAGTGAATCACTATTCACTGGGCCTGGAGTCAGAAAGAGCCTAGGTCAAATCTGGCCTCAGACATTTACTAGCTGTGTGAGCCTGGTCAAGTCACTTAATCGCTGTTTGCCTCAGTTTCCTCTTCTGTGAAATGGGGATAATAATAGCACTTACCTTCCGGGGTTGTTGTAAGGATAAAATGGAATAAGAGTTGGAAAGTGCTTAGTGCAGGGCCTAGTACATAGTAGGCATGATGTAAGTATTATTATTATTATTATTATTATTATTGTTATTATATATTCTTGGTGAAGCCATGCTGACTTTTTCTAGTCACTATTTCGCTTTGTACATGTTTGCCAGCCATTTCTTCAGCACAGGTGTTCTTAATATGGGGTCTTTAAACTTGGATGGAAAAAAAATACATATTTATTTTTTCTCAGCTGAAATTTAGTATTTCCTTCAGGTAAGGTTAAAAAAAGTATATTCTGAGAAGGGTTTCGTAGGTTTTACCAGACTGCCAAAAGGTCTGTGGATGACAAAAAAAGTTAAGAATCCCTGCTTTAATGATTGAAACAGGTGTCCAGTAACGATGGTAGAGTTGATTTGATCATGGTTCATGGTTCCGAAAATGTGGGGTGAGGAGAGGGCAGGAGGAAAGGGTCGATGGAAGTGTCTAAGACGTTTTGGTGAGGCTGTGGAGGATATGGCCAGAGAGTAAAGAGTGAAGAGAATCAAGATATCTGGTGCTTTCTTGAAGTATTCCCTGTGTGTGTTCTCATGTAGAGAGGGGGCATGCACAGAGTAGTGATAAGCTGATAGACGCTCAGCTATTCTTGGTCCCTTAGAATAATGGAATCCTAGAGTTTAAAGTTACCATTCCTCTCCTGCAGTGCCCTGTCTGCTAGGACACCCTGTTTGGGGATCACATGCGTAAAAGATACACGCAAATGTGTAGGTTACTTTTTCTCCTTTATTGGGAACTCTTAGATCTTGTCATCAGGTCAGAATAGGAATTACAGTAAAAGTATGGATATGAAATTTAATTTCTAAATATTGCATACTCTTTTGGACATAGCATCAGTTCAGTATTTTGAAACATATCATCTGTTACTGAGCATACTAATGTCCATTCACATTTTGTTGAAATTTGCAGAATGTTAGCATGCACAAATGTCATACATACCAGGGGCCACGTTCCAATTTCTGTGAAAGAAAATTGTTGTGCTTTTGCAGAATATTTCTGGCTTATTTGGGCAGAAAGGAGGCAATTAAACATTCTATCATAATAACAGTTCTTTTCATCCGTGGTGGAATGTCAGCAAGTATATCTGTGACTTCTTCAAAATCAATTTTCTCCTGCTTTCTAAGAC